CGGAAGGTTCTGGTCAATTATCCACCAATTATGTTGCTTGATCTGGTGCTTGAACCACCTACCGGGTTCCCTTCTTGAGTGAGGAAAGAGAATACCTTGATAGGCTTACCTAGACTGCTACTGGATATTAGGATGGTATCCCTCTTTACAAAGTGGGGTGGCGTCTCCTTGGCCCAGACCTCCGCTTCCAGTCCATTTTCCACCTTTGATTCTGTGATATGCAGAATTCAATCGTGTGATTGGGAGTCCAACCACCAAGTGTCTTCTAACCAGACCTCACTTTCAGTTCTTAGGAATTCAGTCCATGCGTTGGGAACAACCAATATCAATGCCTTCAGATGTGTGGAAATCCCTCGAAGACCTCTAAGTTTGTGCTTAAGGTCCTCCACAATCTTCCACTCTCTCCTTTTCCGGTCCCAGATGTACTCCACCTTCCATATGCCCCTCTGTAGCCATTTGTGTCCGAAGTTGCCTTTCCGTAACGTAACACTGAACACCGCCCCTTGCTCCCCGCGAACTGCAGGATTCTTGAATAGGGGCATTGAGAGCATAACTTCTGCTGATGTACATTCCTTGAACGTGGTCAGGTGCATTCTGAACCTTGGTGAGTGAGGAGAAGAACAGACAGTCCCACAAATAAGGATGGAGATAGCTAGGTGGGTCCATGGAGTGTCTCTTGGATGTATTAGTAATCTTGTCACTCATCTCGTTAGTAATGCTCTGTTCTGGATCTGGGGGTCAATGACCCCAAGACCTCCATCATTTTTCTTCAACTATTTTCCACCAAGCTAATTTAAATATGCATGAGGAAACTTCTTAGTCACCCTTCGAGATGAATCAGGAGAGGAGTTAACGAATCAATTGAGTTGAAGATTGATATAATTCTCTAAACGATATAATATACCAGATTATGGATAACATAAGATTCGTGAAAACCTAACAAAACAAATTATTAGGTTTGCACGAAAAATTTCAAAGATTCTCATAGTACGTTTTTCAGGCCTCCTACATTAACAAAATTCTAGGTGAAGTTAAAGATTCACAAAAAATGGAATACAAAACTACTTTTTCAAAACCACTCGAAGTGGTGAGGAGAAAAGCGGTTTTTTTTACAGAAAATCACTACCTTCCAAAACACTGTTTTTTCATGAACCAAAATATTCTTTTTTTTATCTAAAGAAATCATATTTATAGTTCTAGAAGGTATGCAACACAATGAACTCATTGGAGGGTCTCCCAAACACGCCATATGTTGTCACTTTCATGAATACGTTCGTTTGAATATGTTCTCTCATACATGGACGAATATATTATTTTTTATTAAAATATTTTATCATTTTTTAATTTTAGATTATGGTTGGTTAAGAATTTGAAGATAAATCTATAAATTAATTTTCACAGATTTTGGTTCTTACCAAGTACTGAAAATGACTTATAGTTCTATAAATGAGTATTCACTAAAACTGTTGTTTTTTTTTTTACATATTTCGAGTTTTTAAGGATTGTCTTGTTTACACTTTGTTTTTTGTCAATCTACTAAAAACAATTTATAGTCCTATAACACGCTCTTTGCAAAAAATGATTTTCTTGCATATTTTAAGAATTGCTAGACTTTTTGCCCGTTTTTTTGCATCCTTTCTTGGGACACAATTAAAATATTATTTTTCATGTATCAAGTAACAGTTTGATGTTGTACTTTTTCATTCTATAAAAAATGTTAGGTTTTGTCATTTTGTTAGGTTTTCGTGAATTCGGTGTTGGATAGGATAAAGACATTAGCGACCATTGCACGACCAAAAAACGATAGGAAGTTCCTCGTGGACCAATGTGCACATGAGTTTCTAATTCTTTTCTTCTATAATAGCGTCTTGCGACTTGGAACAGTCTGAGAAATTTTTTAGGATACCTAAGTATCTTTCAGAGGCAGTTTTTGGGAGGACTTTCATGCCCCAATCAATCGCCAAGGGACTACCGTCTGGGGTCATGGCAACAGATTTGTGTCAATTGACCTTCATTTCAAATGCTGCCTCGTATGATGTGAGGCATTGTCTTAATGTTTGAAGAGATTTGACGGGATTCTCTGAAACTGCTGAGAAGTCATCTTCAAGCGCGGATACTTTGAGCTCAAAGGAGCTAGTTACATAGAGATCTTTATACGATCGGTGTGATCTAACCATATTTAACAAGACTTTCATCTCGATCACAAAAAGGGAGGGAGCTAAGGGGCATCCCTGCCTTAGTGATTTTGAAACTATGAATGGATTTGAGATGAACCCATTGACTTGAACCCTGCCTTGGGAGCCCCTATACAGCGATCTAGACCCGGTAATAAAGTTTGGCCCAAAGCCTACTCGGGTCATGGCTTCTTGGACAAAATCCCAGTTAACCCTCTCGTATACTTTTTCGAAGTCAATCAATATTAGTGTTGATTTAGACCTACGGACTTTAATCAGTTTTAGTGCCTGCAAGATGGTCATCACGTTGTCCAATACTTGTCTTCCTAATACGAAGCCTGAATGGTTTGGTGCCACAAGTTTGGTCATGAGGTTGGTTAATCTTCTGGCCATAGTCTTAACCAGGATTTTCCCTGCTTCATTAAAGAGAGAGATGGGGCGCCAATTACGAATATCCCTTTTGTCTCCTTTCTTATGTAGTAGTGTGATGATCATGATGACCTGTAGGTCCGAAAATCGATTCAACACGGGTTTCGCGCTGAAAAATTGAACGCGCGTTGAATTCGCGTTCAATCCCCGTTCAAACGCGCGTTGGACGCGAATGAACGGGGTCCGCGAACTGCCTTTCCGCGCGTTTGGGGGGGGGGTAGGGGTTTTGTGAAAGTGTGGGGTGGTAGTGTCCACTGTCGGGTACCGCCCCATGCACTTTTTTTNCAGATGGTGATCTTTTTTTTTTTTCCCTATGTAGCTTGGGCCTGAACGGGCAAAAGTTGGAACACAAGGCTCACCTTGCTTATGTCCGCTGCGGCCATCGAGCTCACACCGTTGGCAGCCCCAATGGCTAATGTGAGCCATATTAGCATTCGAATGCAAACTTGTTCGTGGTGAAGTGCACGTTGCACATGTGCAGAGTGACACAGAAGCAGACAGAGCTATTGTATGCACCTGACCGCGAGAACGTCCGGATTCGAGCACTGAATCCACGCGCACCTGGCAGTGGGCCTGCACCCTATTTCCTTGGTTCCTTGGAAGCTGTAATTACACCTCGGCAGAAGTGGGGTACAGCACCCTCCTTGCTCATCGTGCTCATCAGTGCTTGGTGCTTGGTGCTTGATGCTCACGTGGTTGGTGCTCATCGTGCTCCGTGCTCCGTGCTCCGTGCTTTCAATTTCGTCGGCGCTCATCGTGGTCAGTGGTCATCGTGCTCATCATGGTCGGTGCTCGGTGCTTGGCTGTGTGTCCGAAAATCGATTCAACGTGGGTTTCGCGTTGAAAAATTGAACACGCGTTGAATTCGCGTTCAATCCCCATTCAAACGCGCGTTGGACGCGAATGAACGGGGTCCACGAACCGCGTTTCCTCGCGTTTTGGGGGGGGGTAGGGGTTTTGTGAAAGTGTGGGGTGGTAGTGCCCGCTGTCGGGTACCGCCCCATGCACTATTTTTTTTTTTTTTTTTTTTTTTTGGAAAAAAAAAAAAAAAATCGCGAACCTATTTGCATCCTGCAGGGAGTTCGCGGGGTGCCTGCTGCGGTGGTGGCGCAGGGGAAACGGTCCAAACGGGTACAAAAACGGTACTCGAGTTCGACCACACTTCATTTGCCGCGCGAACCATACCGCTCCAACGCGACAAACGCCGTCAAACGGGTGTCCCCTGCGTCGAACGCTGTGGACGAAAGAGAGAGAGAGAGAGAGAGAGAGAGAGAGAGAGAGAGAGAGAGTGCGCGCGAGAGAGAGAGAGACATTGCGCGCGAGAGAAAGAGACATTGCGCGCGCGAGAGAGAGAGATTGCGCGCGCGCGAGAGAGAGAGAGAGAGATTGCGCGCGCGCGCGAGAGAGAGAGAGAGATTGCGCGTGAGAGAGAGAGATTGCGCGCGCACGCGAGAGAGAGAGAGAGATTGCACGTGAGAAAGAGAGAGAGA